GGTGTCATCACAGCTCACAGCAACCTCAAACTCCTGGGCTCAAGTGATTTTCTTTGCCTCAGCCTCCCAAGTAGTTGGGACTATAGGCGGGTCCATTACACCTGGCTTACAACTAAGGTTTGATAAAGAAGTTACATAATAAAAGAACTAGAGAGTGAATGAATAAGTATATGGAAAACTTAGTAAACAGGTTTCAAAAACAGACTAAGAAATACTCCATGTGTAATAATAATAGCTAATATTCACGAGGTGCTTCTATGTGCCAAGCACTATGTTACACTCTTTAAATGTACATGTCATTTGATCCTTACAATTGTATGAGATGGGATAGTATTATTCTTCTCATATTACAAATGGGTGAAGAGAAATTGGCTTTAGGTCACATAGCTAGTTAATTAGTGCAATATAGAACTTCAACTTGGGCAGGTCTAGCTTTCAAAGGCAAGAACGGAGGCAGGTGAAGACATGCTGAGTTAAAAACAATTTGTGGGATTAATTTTAAATTGGTGTCAATGATGTTTCCCTAATTTGCAGGGCTTATGCTAGCCTTGGCTAAGAGCCCCTTAAGTCTGCCGCCCTGAAACCAAACATACACATCTACCTTTTAGCCCTCTGTGGACTGTTAACCCAAAGTTCATAAACGCAGGGGTCGGGCTCTGATGTAAGCTTAGGCTATAGAGCAGCTTTTTAAACTTAGTTCCTGGTTCTTCACTGAATTTCAAACAGTTTAGTATCCCACTTAAGTTTCCTCTGGACAAATAAGGTGAATTAACCAAAAATTTGCTTTTTATTTATTATCCCCATCACGTACCCTGTTCTTGCCATTTTTGGGGCCATATCTTTTCTCTCCTATCTAAACAGATCCTTGATAAATTCAATGGACTTTCTTTTCAGCATTATGCTTCCCTTCGGGGTATGTGTATTTTTTGATCAAGCTAAAACGCCTTTTTTCAGCATTGTTTAGTAAAAAAGGAAAAAAAAAAGATAACGTGTCTTATACTTCAGGAATACATCACAGAAATGATTTGCCACCATATTTTGTAATAATTTCACAGTTTTTTTGACTTTAAAGCCTAAGATATCTAAGCAACCTTTCCCTACGTGTGTTCTTTCTCAAATACCCATTTCATTTGGCTTATGCTAGTATTAATTTATTTTCTTGTAGCTTAATTCCTGTGCTAAGAAGTGATGAGATTTAAACATTGAGTATAAAAGGAAAAGACAACCAGGTTTACTTTCTTACAAACATTAATTGGACATATATATATTTATATATATACACACACAGGCACTCTCTCTCTGACAGAAATGCTTTTAGACTATATTCTTATGAAGAAAACTGATTTCTACATATCCAAAAGGTACCTTTGATAGATCCCTGAAGTTTCCTGGTAGAGTCAGGTCCAATTCTTCCGATTCATAGTTTGTTAATACCCATGGAAACACGGGATATTGATTCAGATCATTATATGTCCGTCCTAGTACAGAAAAACAGAAATGAAAGTTTGTATACACTAATTGCTTATGAAATAGTTTCTGTTCTAATAAGGCAATTATGAGTTTCAGAAGAAAAATAACTCCTTTATTGAACCATGTCTTTAATAAAAAGTGCTCTGGTAACAATGTGTTTCAAGTGAATTTACTCAGTAATTTTTTAAAAAGTCACTAGAATTAAGATTTATAATACAAGATTGTGACAGAGACTGCTGGCTGCTGGTTGTAATAGATTATCTTCTTCCTGGCCTGGAATACACCTCTCAGCCTCTCTTGCAAGTAGCTATGGCCGTGGACTCAGTTCCATCCACAGAGTGTAAGTGGAGGCACTTTGGGGCTTGGCCCACTGAAACCCCGTATTAACACATGTGTGTTTCCATGCTCAATCTCCCTTCTGCTGATGTAGAGGATACTGCAACCTTGGACGCGGAGTCTTTTCAGCCAGAGCCCCCAAAAGCGATCACGGAGAAGGTCACCCTGCTGACCTGCACACTTGCAGCTTATGTGATGATCTTCTGTTACAATGAATATATATCTAGAAATTATATTCCCAGTGCACAGAATACTATATTAAACTATATCAAGAATCAATGTAGAGAATTTGCAAGTGAACTGAAGTACTCTGAAGTCAGGATGAAAAGTACATAGGCAGATGTCAAATATGTTCTTTTTTTTTTGAGACAGGGTCTCACTCTGTCACCCAGGCTGGAGTGCAGTACACCAACGCAGCATTCTTCAACCTTGTCTTCCTGGGCTCAAGCAATCCTCCTTCCTCAGCCTCCCAAGTAGCTGGGGCTATAGATGCGTGCCACCAAGCCTGGCTAATTTTTATTATTATTTTTTGTAGAGACAGGGTCTTATTATGTTGCCTTAACTAGTCGTGAACTCCTGGCCTCAAGTCATCCCCCTGCCTTGGCCTCCCAAAGTGCTGGGATTACAGGCATGAGGCACCATGCCCAGCCTCCATTCTTTTAAGTTCATTCATTTTCTTTTTGTATTATATTGTTTTACTTTAGTGGAGACCTGCTGGACTTTAGGTTGGGTTTGTCTGTTTAGTTTTTGGTTAAATGACTTAAATATTTCAGGTAAGGATATTGAGGCACAATGAGAATGTGGTAAATTTAGGGGAGCACAGCACTGGCTCCCCCTCATAAACTGGTACTGAAATACTATATGAGCAGATGGAATTGAGAGAATCACTATTAAAGAAACAGGGTCCAAAGAAAACTTTTGTTGGACAAGATTATTTTTAGTAAAAAAAGTGTTATGATCTGATCATGGGTAACTTTCTAAATTTTCACTCAATTTCACACAAAATGGCTATTTCACTGGTATTTAGTGATATAGATTTCACCCAGTGTGCCTTGGTGTGCCCGCCGTATATATCATAATAGTAACACGGATATGCAGACACTATCTTGTTTGTCAGCAATAAATGACATTAAATGATATCTACTCTTGTAGCAATTGGTAAACATGACTGTAAAATAGAAAAAAACACCACAATCTGAGTAACAACTAAAATCCACTATTATGAGCATCAAACCAAAGTAACTCATTTAGTAAACATTTTATTGGGTGACTATTTTATCTGTTTACTATATGAAGCTTTGTATTTTACAACTAAACTACATATATAGTTTTAAGTGTGTAAATTGATGTGGGTATGGAATATATATGTAGGTAATTGACAGAAAGCAGATTCACTGGGATGAGTGAGCATTAGATTAGGGCTGCCCCTGCACTCCCACCACAGCTCTGAGACAGACCTCTCTTGTACCTAATCCATGTCACTGTTTACTTGTCTGCCTGTCCACTAGTCTGTAAACTCACACGTGTAGGGGCCGGGTTGTTTTGTTTTGTTTTCAATCTCTGTGTCTTGGCACATACGGTCTACCCAATAAATGTTTGTTGGTGGAATTAATATGCACATGATAAAAATGTAATAAAATGTACCAAATTTCAAAAGGTGAACAAACATAAACCATGTAAAGAAGGAAAACTGCAGAACATTCTCTTTAGAGGATGAGAATTATGCAAAGGAACAGAAGTGTGTATGAGAGAGGAGAATGGCATTGTGAATGTGTACGTTAAACTAGAAGAAAATGTCTACAGCTTAGGTAGCTCAAACGATCAATGAACTTGCTTTGTGCTTATCAAAGTCTACCATGAAGAAGAGTACTGATGACAATAAACAACAATTCAGAGCCTTTAATAAAGTCTTTTGTACATGAAAATGGTCTGCTAAAGCAGTACTATTATTGTAAAATACAAGCTGTAAAATTCTAAAATTTAAAATTTATTATTGATTGGTAGCTCATATATATGCTAATATAGGACACCTGATCCCTCTCAGTATTTTTTTAAAATACATGTATATATAAAGAGAGTATAGATTGGCCAGATCCCAGAGCTATTTCTGGGATCCCAAATAGGTCCATGACAAGTTTAGTGTTCTGCCATATTCTGGGGAACTGTTCTACTTAAAAATCTGTATAATTTAATGAAAAGTAGGTCTTCCAGTGGGTGTCTTTTTATAGAACAATGCTGATGCTACATATATATGTGTACGTGTGTATATAAAACATATATTACTTATATAAATCAATTGATAGATGAAAGATACCACAATAGTTAAAAAATTTCTGATGAAGTTTTACAACTTATATACTAAGGAAAAACTGTCAAAATAAAATAAATAAAAAGCCAATTTATATTAACTCAGTGCTTAAATGTACCGTATAAATGCAAACAACATAAAAAATAGAAACCATATTTAAAGACGTTAGCTTTTAACATAATAGATATGATTTTCTAATAAAGAAAAACATACAATGTTATTTTTAGAACAAATACAAAGGAAAGAAAGCACTATTTTAAAGCTTACACACACATACACACAAAATGATTGATGTCAACAGTCATAGCTCATGGCTATTTATCTGCCCTGCATTTTTTTAATTCAGTTTCAATAGTCTTTGCGGGGTTCTTTGAAAATAAATGTTAAGAAAAATTTAGTAATTTTTAAATCATTAGACCTTTATAGCACCATTTTAATTTTAATATCATAAACTTTATAAATGAATATAATGACATTAAAACCTGCTTTTAATAAAAATTTCCACATCGAACCCTTGCAACATGGACAATCAATATATATTTTTAATTTGAATTAAAAACACAATATATTTAATGTCACATGAAAGAAAAAGAATGATTAAGTGGTACTTTGGGATTTTGCATTCATAAGTTTTAACCACGAATTGGCATTATTCCTTTAATTATTTTACTGAACACCTTTGTGAAATGAAAAACAATACTGTTCACTAAATTACCCAAAAAGTGAGATATTTCCAAAGTAATACTTGTTAGGTTCTGGCACCTAGATATTTATTTACTAATGTTTTGTTTTTTCTTTAGGATAGTTAAAATTTAGTAAATACACTTATGCTATAATTGGTAAGGTTCTTTCCTTTTCCAGCAGTGGTAAGTACAGAAAAAAAATATATATATATTTTTTTTGTTAACTACGCTTATAAGGATTTATCTTAGAAGATGAATATTAAATATTGCAAGCCTATGACACTAATCCACTCAAACAATAAAAGTGAAGCACAGTAAATGAGATCTCAGAAACACTGGATATGTTGCTTCATTTAAAAAAAAACTTTTTAATTAAACCATCCAATTTAATGTTTTTATATGGCACTTTAGTTTTGAAGGTAAAGTGATCTAGAGACAGCTGACAAAGAAATTATAACTGCAATTCCTTGGTGAAAATGTTAATGACAGCAAAATATTGTTTAATTAGATGATTGCAGCATCTGGATTAACACTCTTTAAGAGCGATGTTCCTGTGCTTGTCTGCTTCTTCACACTTTACAGACATTTTGTCATCTCTAGGTCATTAGGAAAGAATTTTTAATGATTTTTCTAGAAGGAAGCAGTTCAAGTTACATCTAATTAGATGACAATAATAAGCCCAACACATGCAGTAGCTAAATATATACATAATTAACCAGGGAGGGCTTGTTCATCACAGAGTAAAAAAGTGGAAAATGCTAAACAGGAGAAAAAGGTTGGGGTTGGGGAAGTTGTCCTGAATTCATTAGCTGATCATATGAAAAACAACTCAAACTCCTTTAAAAAAAATTCTCAAGTCTAACAGAGGATCATTTACACAAAGCTATGTTAGCAATCACTCCATTATTTTTTTAAATGTAAGAATGCCAGATTTTAACATCTTTTTCATAGTGTTATTTAATAAGCCATAAAATGAGGCATGGATTTTATCTTTCAGAACCCAATAAATAGAAATCAGGACAACCCTGGGGATCAGAGGTTGAAACTATATTTTTAGTAGAACTCTAAGCATCATTAAAATTCTTTTATATAATCTTCTAAAACTTAGAGTTCTTTGAAAATAAAAAAATCTCGAATGTTTGAAAAATAGTTAAATAAATTATACCACAGTTCAAAGTTGGACTCTCATACAGTTTTAAAAAATCAAGCCTTTGAAGAATATTTAATGAAATGGAAAAAGTAGAATGTTAACTTGTATGTGTAGCAGGTTCCCAATGATATACCACATACAGAATAAGAAAAACAGATAAATAACAAAACGTCAACTGGGATATTTATGGAGAGGCTTATGAGTGGTTTAATTTTTTAAATTACACTTTCCCATATTCTCAATTTTCTATAATGCATATTTATTAAATTCATAAATAGAACAAAACAAAGACTATAAACACATTTATGGGCTTTTAGGTAACTGTCTTTTAAAAACAATATGTTTTCTGAAGATTTGACAAATTTTTTTTTACTATGGAAAGTATCTTCACAAAACTTATATACTTATAATCAAAGGCATGTTTATTTAAATTCAATTGTCTATGTATATACACATATCACAAGAGGGTCTAAAAAGTCTATATAATGTATTAATGCTAGGACAATGGGACCATATGCTTTATTTAGTCTT